CCCCAAAACCCCAAAACCCCAAAACCCCAAAACCCCAAAACCCCAACAAACGCTACATAATTGAAATAATAAATATATGGGAAAGAAAACAGAAAAGTCCAAAAAGAAGGCTTCCAAAAAGTCTGATCAAGCCCAGGCAGGAGAAGCTCCCACAAAGAAAGAGAAGAAGCAGAAAAAGGCTTCTATCGACCAAGCCCCAGTCCAGGTCGAAGAGATCAGTAAAGAAGTAGAGAAGGCTGAACAGAAAGAGAAGAAGGATAAAGCTACTAAGAAGTCAGAAGAGTCAATCACAGTAAAGAAAGCATCTAAGAGATCGAAGAGGTTCAGAAGAGTAGAGAAAATTACTGCAGAAGACAGACTTAATAAAGGAGTCATCTATCTTGGCCATATTCCTTATGGGTTCAGAGAAGAAGAGATTAAGAAGTTCTTTGAGCAATTCGGCACTGTTACCAGAGTTAAACTTGCCAGGAGCAAAAAGACAGCCAGACCTAAAGGATATGGATTCATTGAGTTCGAAAGTCTCGAAGTTGCTGCTGTAGCAGCTGAGACTGTTGATAAGAGGTTCATGTTTGATAGACAATTAGTCTGCCATCTTGTTGAAGATGACAAAATTCACAAAGACCTTTTCAAAAATAGTGGAAGAAAATGGAAATTCGTCCCTTACCAAAAGATCAATTCTAAGAATGTTAACTCTGAGAAAGATGACCTCAAGAAGTACAGGAAAGTTAAGAGATTACTGCAGGCTGAGGGGGAGAAAAGAGAGAAAATTCAGGACTTTTTCAACACAATTGGCAAAGAAAATACCTTTGAATTCCCTGGATACAAAGCTATTGTTGACAAAGCTATCGAGGAAGCAGCATAATTGATAATATGACTATTTTGCGATAAATTCTTCTGCCTAAATTTTACGCAATTCCAACAAGTCTTAGTATATTCTAATCAAGGAATGTGCCTGTGATTTATTTGATCGGCTTGATTCAATATTTAGAATGCATGAGGGGTTTTGGGGTTTTGGGGTTTTGGGGTTTTGGGG